TTAGTTGCAATAGTCAGTATTCTTTCTTTTACCCTATATTGTTATAATCATGAGATAATTTACAAAGATATAATTTAGGGGTAATTAAAAATTATGAATTACTCTTACCGTTTAGTTTTGAATGCTATTTTGAATGGAGACACAGTAGGGTCATCCTTCAGTGGTAAGTTACCATTATGGTTGGTTCGTTTTGAATCTAGACGACAGTTATTGCATATTATCTGTCCAACTTCGGCATTCTTGACATGTGAAGCTAAATCTTCTGTAACCTTTCTCCGTTTTCTAGGAGAATTTACCTGCTTCCTACATATGCAGCATGAATAGCATTTGGCCATTTTGAATAATAAACAAAAATGGCAGGCAAAATTTTCTATAAAGTTCTAAAATTCACATCGAGCATAATAAGTCTCCATCAAAATTATTCTTTGTATGCAACAATATAACATTTGTGTAACTAAAGAAGCATTTATTAGAGTGGAGACTTGTTATGCTCAATGTGAAAACACTCAAAGGATTACTACCTCCAGTGAATAAAAATGTCACCCAGACTCAGCATGAAATGTCCTTTCAAAGCTTTACTTACCTCTAAACTGTACATATTGTTTAAATCAATTGTATGTATGGATCAAATAAATATATATTTACATAATCCTGGACAGATAAATCAAAAACATTCATTCATAGCTGAGTAAATTGGAATTCATCAAGAGGGTTGCAAAATATGTGAATTTTTTTCCTTCTGGCCCCCACCCTCTTTGAAGGTCTCCAGACACCGTAACAATTTTTTCTAAATTTTTTAAAAAATACTACCCAAAAATATAGACTTCAATCTATGCATTTCTGATGTTTTTTTCTCCTATTCTTAAAAAAAGTTTTTTCACACTTCAATTGGGGCACTCTCTGTTGCTAGTTTACCCAACTCCTTTGGAAGAATATAGAGTGGTAATGTTTTCAATAACACTTAGATACTGCATCTCTGTTCCTAAATAATCCCAAAACGTTTTTATTTTATTGTCATCTGTTACATCCTTTATCATTTTTGAAAATTAATTACATACATTTTAAAGACGTTTTTTTCAATTATTACTGAAATTAAGGTTAATGTCAAATTCTATTGATCTTGTTATTTTATGTCATTATTAATCGAAAGAAATTTAGAGTAAATTTAATCTGAGTTATTCAGGAATAAAATGACACATTTAGTAGTTTAGTAAGAAGGAAGGGGTCCCGAGAACCAAAGTGAAATAAATCTATCATCAGCATGTCTTGATCCATAGGGTGTCTTCTTCAAGATCATTGATGTTAATATTGCCATTAGGGTCGAATTGTTTCCATTCTTCAAAATCCTTAATACTTTGATGTTTGTGTACAGGGTGTCAAATAAGTCTGTTCTCCCCCCTCAACTTTTTTAATTCAGAAATAACATAGGGTTGGTATATACCATCTTAAAGGAAATTCAATTTGCTGATCACACACCAAATATCAGAGTGATTGGTTGAATTCCAAATTTTTTAGAGTATTTTTAGTGATGTCCATATTTCACCTTTTTAATAGTCTGTATGTCTCCCCCAGTAGCCCGGATGGCCTCAATTCTACGAGGATATGATCCCGTATAAATGATTCAGAACTTTTAATTTTGGCTGTTATCAACTTTTTTTGTGATGAAAGATGCCCCTGCTTCAAAAACTCCCCTGAATGTAACACATTTTACTCTGTAGCGATATTGAGAAACATCGAAATCACACAATGTTGGCATTGTCACTGCAGTATCAACATTTTACTTTTCATTCACTATACCTGGTAATTTTACTTGTTTTGACGTTATCAAAGGTCAACATTGTAGCAATTTTATTAGGAAGAGTTTATGATTGATTTTTTGAGGGTGATCAGCATTTTCCGTAAGCTTCAATAAGGGGGGAGAACAGACTTATTTGACACCCTGTATGATAGTTAAAATAGACAAAATACATTTATGAATCTTGTTAAGAACGATTCATATTAATAGCTAAGCAGAAAATGGCATGGGTATCCCAGGGGTAAAATTGTACAATTTAGGATATAAAAATTTAAATAAGCAATTTACGGCAGTAGTACGATTTATGTAAGAGCTCATCACTAGTAAAACTGTAGGAAATCGTAAAGGAGTAACCCTTTTGTTTGCTGTTACTGAGAAAAATACTGAATTTCTAAAATTTCTAGACCCTTGTTTTTGTGTGACACTTATGGTATATTTGTATCTGTTTTGAACATAGTTTTGCTTAGTTTTAGAAAGCTTCTGGCTTTTAAACTTTGAGGTAAACCTTCATTTCTGTAATTATCGACACTTGACAAACAAACAACGTTTTGCAATATTTTTTAATAATCTAGATCTGGTTTATACATGTATTTTATTACTTGTATGTGATCTGTATTAATTTTTCACACAACCAATCAAAATGATGTTATTTTACTAGATTCTACCAGGGAATGAGGACCGATACAGTCATGTTACAAACCTGATTGAACCACCTGTGCTTGCCAGATTTTTTCGCATCAATCCTCAGACCTGGTATGGTGGTATGTGCATGACATTTGATGTCATTGGATGTCCAAACCCAGCAGGTAAATAAGGGTCAGAGGGGGGAGATCTCCCAAAGGTCAGCCTTCATATTCGATCACGTGGTACCCATGTGCTAGATCCATATAGAGTAAGGCTTACATGACCATAGGAATCCAACTGACCGTTGTCCACCATTTTGAATATCATGTGATAGATCCATATAAGGCTTGTATGACCATATGGGATAACTAAGGGGAATCCCCGAATGCGATAGAATATGATAGTATTATGGGAGCTACTCACTTCTTCTGGGTAAGGGTGTTACATGAGAGGTGAGCGGGGACTTTGGATTCAGAGAATGAAAGTTACCAAGAATGGTTTTACCATGCCATGGAATGCAGTCATTGGTCAAATCTTCCGGACGTATTTTTAACAAAGGACGATTCTCGGTTTGGAGAACGAAGTTCATCAATCTAAATGAGCATTATCCCTGCTTCAGACAAATTTAATTTTTTTACATAACATAGATTTGAATGTCTTCTTTTGAATAATCATAATTTAATTTGGGTAATATTTCTAGATTTTTTGCAAAAAAATATTCGCGCAGTACACTGATGAACTTCTTTCCCCAAATCGAGATTTGTAATTTATTGAATCGGTCAAATTGAGCGTTATCCCTGCTTCAGACCAATTTGTTATTTTTACATCTTGTAGATCTAAATGTCCTCTTTTGAATATTCATAGTTTAATTTGGGTAATAATTCTATATTTTTCATGAAAAAAATTAGTAGCCCAGGAGACTGTTCTCCAAACCGAGAATCGTCATTTAATATAAAATGACCACAGCAACATATGATCTAAAGAGGGCACTGTCAACATATGATAGACTTATGATAGAAATATATATCCTGAGATCGCCAACCAAGCAATTGTTTGCAGATTTACTCTGATTGATTTGAGAGCAGGTGAATCGATTCCCAATAAGGAACTTATATTGACAGCTTTTGTATGTCAACAAAAACCAATTTGGTTATCTTTGAACTTCTATATCATTTCCACGAGGAGGTTATTGTGTTCCTATGCGTTTACAAAGTGAATGCTGTATTGTATTTTAAGATATTTTTCCTCAAAAAATGTTTTCGTAAAAGAGAACAAAATAAGAATTTATAAACTCTCACATTTGCAGCATTTTAGGATGTTTCTGTGTTTAACCATATCGGTTAACCACGATTAATTCTGATAGATGTTAGAGCAGCTGAATCAATACCCAATAAGGACCTTATATTGACAGTTTTTGCATGTCGACAAAAAACAATTTCTTTCTCTTTGAACTTTTTCTGAAATCATCAGTCAAGGTCGGTTTGAGGATATGGATCAAAATACTTCGCAAATCGGTTTAAAAACGTCCTGCTATATAGTCCTTTTAAGATAACAAGAATACGAGCTCACCCTCTCCCGAAACGTTTTCGGTGTAAAGGGTTTTCGAATGGGCTCTTTTTCTTGGAATAAACCAGGCTATTTATTTGATGTATCTACAGTAGTATGGTAATGTATTTGAATAAACGCATTATCAATGAAAAAGTCTATATCTTTTATTATATCATCGCTAAGCACTCCCCATCTACTCCAGTAAAATCTTGAAAAATAAATGAAAAAATTGCAACACAATGTTAACCTAGTGTAATCAATAGCCATTGGTAAGTGAAACAACATATCAAAAATCTAGAAAAATCTAAGCAGTGGAAGACTAAGAATTCAAGGGATGAAGATACCCCCTTAATCACCCCCTAAATCTCAATGATATATCTTTAAAAAAATCTCATTCGGCTCTCATTACAAAATTGTAGTTCTTTTTTTGGATATGCATCAGAGACATATTAAAATTGAGAAATCTATTCAACAGAAAATTAAAAATTGTCAGAAAATGTATTTTTGTGTATGTTTATACCCTACCTTGTATTATATTTTGGATCATTTTTCACTATATTTATGTATAACTCTATTATCAGGCTTAATGGTAACTTGTAAAAATTCATGCTAGCTGAACTAATGTCAAAGATTAAGCATGGTCAATATCAAAACTTGAGCTTAATAGGTTTGTCAGAAAAAAATGCTGAAAATATCATAAATGTGTTAATTTTTCAGGTTCAATTTTAGGGTCAGGATTAGCTTGACCTAATAAGTTTTGCATTTGAAGTGTATCAGCCGAATTTTTGTCTTATTATTGTACTATTGATGAGTACAATCCAATAGAACATGATTTTGTAGATGAATGGAACATGGGAAAGTGCATAAAAATGATTCTGACATAAGTTGGGGGGGGGGGGGGTAGACTATTTCAGCTTTTCGAATAACATGTCTAGATCATGGTTTGCTTCTGCAAGGATACAAATTGCCTTTTAATATTGAGAAATGAACTTCAAAAATACACAAAACTATTTTATATTTAAACCCTGACTAAATTATCAATGCTTGAAAACTTTTCATTTTCCATGACAATGCAATTACACTGTATCTAAATCAATATCATCAATTTTATTTGTGTTTGCACATTTTTCTTTTTTTGTATGTTTGTTATCAGGATGCTATCTCCAAAATGTGCCTTGAGTCTGTCCTTCATGTAACGGCAACTGAAAGGCTTCCTTCTAAATACTCATTCATTTTTACCAATGTCTCCTCAATTGAAATTTGCTCATCTTCAGCTTGCTCTAGATATTTTACTACCATTTTAAAAGCATTCTCCCTTTCTTCTTCTTGTGGCCTTCCCACATTTTTAACCTTTGAACCACCCTGTTCAAAAATTCAGGGGACATCCCTCCCAGTTCTAAAGTTTGTGCTACATACTTGATGGTACACAGCATCTGCTGCTGGAAGGTCTGGACAAAAAAGCATCCGATCTTTTACTTCATCGCTCCATGGCGAATTAAGTTTGTCGCATATTTTTAAACATGTGGAACTATAGTCTAGGGTCATTATAGGGTTCAGTTTGAAATCAGTCTTTCTACCTTGATATGGGTCACCCTGTCCACAAAATAGGCAATTTGTCTTATAATTGAATTTGACTTCTTGAGATCTTAGATTTTTGGAATTTCTTTCTGTTGGTGCACTTAGTTTCCGTTTCAAAGCAGATATGACATTAGTATTTGTATACTCTTTTCTACAATGGACATGAACAACTTGCTCAACTGCTATAGTAAAGCTATCATTTCTAGCATTAATTGCCTTTTGTAAACCTGACATGCCCTTTTCACCCAGTTTTACAGTTGGCACAGTACTGTCAGAGAGTGTTTCATTACAAAGTATGCACTCATCATTATCCACATCCATCATCTCAGCCATGATTATGATTTCTACTTAACTAGTACTTAACTAACTACTTAACTAATCTTGTATATCTTATCTACTCTAACTAAATTATGTTAACTATCTTAACTACACTAAACTATCTCAACTACATGTACTTCATATTTTATCACATAACAGCTTAGCTAATTGCTATGGATGGTTCCCTATGACTGAATAGCTATATGTGAATGAAGCAAGACTGTATGTACAGTATTATTATATATCTACCATTTACATGAGAATATACAAGTATATAATTGTCTCAATAAAGGAGGTATAGTGTAATGTCACAATAGTAACACTAAGACAAAGAAAAAAAATCTTCAGCTATATATACAATAGACTATGTATCAACACAATTACACAACCTTACCACAAAATGTGGACTTTGGGATACCGCACCACAAATGTAAACTTGGGGATACACACAACAAAATGTGGACTTTGGAATACTGCACCACAAAATGTGGACTTGGGAATACCGAACCACAAAATGTGGACTTGGGAATACCACACTACAAAATGTGGACTTGGGGATACCACACCACAAAATGTGGACTTGGGGATACCGCACCACTAAATGTGGACTTGGGGATTCAGCTTGGTTCTGGACAATTAAATCAAAATCATACCTGTGTCCAAATACAGCTAACCAACTTTTCAGCTCACCTACCAGCACAGCTTTTCAGTACTTCTTATCAGCTCATCACAGCCCAATCAGCAAGGCAAATGACATCTGACAATTTTGTGTATTGAGCATTAGATGTATAACTCAACCTAATTACATAATGTAATTTATCTTTTCATAATCAACTTATTCCTAGCTATGCAGATTAAATTTGCAATCACATCAAGGATATTTTTGGTTAAATTGCAATATTTAAATAATGCTTGTAATTTGGTATAATGGAATATCACATAGATAATGTTTATTATTTTAATTATTTGATAATACTAGATGAAAATAAGGCATACAAAATAATCTAAGCCATGAATGCACATTATTCGACCAATTCAACATCCCACATGTCATGCTCATCCAGTATTATAAGTGTTTATAGAACATATGTACTATACTATTTGCGTTTATCATGCTCTGTTACTATGGCAACCAATCATGTTCAGACTCATTACATTAAAGAATTACATCAGCATCCATGACCTCTATAAATATAACTGTGACTGATCCTGTAAAATGACATTTCTAGGAAATTATCACCAAAAAGTGCCACGCCTACTTTTGAGTGGATAGAGTGATGGTCACCTAATAAAATATAGTCCAGAGTCAAATATATCATATAATTCATCAAATTAATCATGTTATCTTATTAAACACTCCCCATATATGTTTTAAGGGTAACTTTATGTTAATTTCTAAATGATTTGAAGAGAAATGGCAACATCAGTTAGTATAGGAAGCTTCAAATTTACTGAAGTATTAAAGATTTTGAGCATTTAAGTTGTGTTGCTATGGTAACCAATTTACCAATTTATATCAAACTTGCTGTGACAACTGAACTATATAAAGGTGCACGATCCCTGAAAATTTTATTGTGATTGCAGTTACATAACAGAAATTATTAATGTTTATCACAGTACCCCTTCATAAAATTACCCAATGGGGGTATAAATGGTGATTTAAAGGTTTTCCACCACTTAGATTTTTCTAGATTTTTCTAGATTTTTGATATGTCATTTTACCTACCAATGGTTATTGATTACACTAGGTTTACATTTTGTTGCAATTTTTTCATTTATTTGTGAATATTTACAACGGTTTTACTGGAGTAATCATAATTTTCTAGTATTTCATTACCATCTTCATTTTACGTAATTACTTATATACAGCACAATTTTTGGTACAGTGACATTTTTGGTTAGTACTTTTATTGCTATATAGAACTTCAACGATGTGCGTTTTATTTTCTCTTTACAGTTGATGTGTAATTTTAGTTCCTTTCTGACAAGTTAGAAACTAGCCATTTCAATATTGTAATATTGAATCACAAACAATATAATTGAGATGTCGTATTGGAAATCATTTTTCTCTTACATGTATTGTAATGAATTCATTGTGAATCTCATGCCGTTTGATCTTGCTGGGTTGGATTGTGATAATCATTCGTGAATGGTGGGAAATCAGAAGGTGTGTTAAAGAGTGATATCTTTGTGTTTTGTGATCAAAGTTTTGGATATCTGAAAGTCGATAGTGTAATGCATCCCTTGATGTCCTGTAGTATATTGGCTGAGACTTCTTAGGGCAATGGACTATGCGGTGCCATAATATCACGATGAAATTAAACGACCTATCGAACTCATCTAGTCTAAAGAATCCGACGCAATGTTATTAAGTCTATGGTGGCAAGACTTTTTCGCATTAATTTGGGCGAATTGAAAAACATTCCACGGGGAATCTTCTATAACAGTTGTTTACAAACATTACTCACTGCAAAGTATAACATCAATTTGAATGTTTCTGTCTTGCGGCTTTTTACCGTTTACGTTTACGTTCCACCAACCAACAGGGAGAACCTAACTAAATGCTATAACATGCCTGTTCCCAAACAAACGATCTGTCTTCTAGAAAAAACTAAGATCTAGAGTTGTGGTAAATATTTTGCTATCATGCCATCATAGCCCAGAATGTCATCCGTCAGTCAAAAAGGTTTGAATCAAAACTTCCCATGAAAATCAAAAGATCTCACCTGTTGAGCACGCCATCTATATATAAATCATGTCAAAAATCAGATGGAGGCATGTCAAAGTATTAATAATGTATAATTATACAAATGCATATACAAGTATATTTACTTATTGTTCATTCCAGATGCACAGTGGAATAAACTATTTAGGGCTATTTATTCGGTATATCTACAGTAGTATATATAAATGGTAATGTATTTGAATAAACGCATCATCAATGAAAAAGGTCTATATCTTTTATTATATCATCGCTAAGTACTCCCTATCATAATTTTCTAGTATTCCATTACCACCTTCACACATTTAACGTAATTACTTATATATAGCACAATTTTTGGTACAGAGAAATTTTTGATTAGTACATTTATTGCTATTTGGAACTCCAACGATGTGCGTTTTATTTTCTCTTTACAGTTGATGTGTAATTTTAGTTGCTTTCTGACAAGTTAGAAACTAGCCATTTCAATATTGTAATATTGAATCACAAACAATATAATTGAGATGTTATATTAGAAATCATTTTCTCTTACATGTATTGTAATGAATTCATTGTGAATCTCATGCCGTTTGATCTTGCTGGGTTGGATTGTGATAATCATTCGTGAATGGTGGGAAATCAGAAGGTGTGTTAAAGAGTGATATCTTTGTATTTTGTGATGAAAGTTTTGGATATCTGAAAGTCGATAGTGTAATGTATCCCTTGATGCCCTGTAGTATATTGGCTGGGACTTCTTGGGGCAATGGACTATGCGGTGTCACGAGGAAGTCAACCGACCTATCGAACTCATCTAGTCTAAAGAATCCGACGCAATGTTATTAAGTCTATGGTGGCAAGACTTTTTCGCATTGATATGGGCGAATTGAAAAACATCCCAAGGGGGAATCTTCTATAACAGTTTTGTTTACAAAGATTACTCACTGCAAAGTATAACACCGATCTGGCCAATATATCCTCGTTTCATTAGTGCTCACAAGGGCGAACGTATACTAAAATTTAAATGTTTTTTGAGTACTTCATATCCAGCAATCGTAATGTTAAATCGGACATCACCTTATCTCCTAACTGGTACTATTACTGAGATTTCGTATCAACACTTTAGTCTACTAAATTATTGTTTAAAACTCATATATGTGAGCGTTAATGCAGGGGCATTTCATACAGCCTATAAACACCGCCCTTTCATTAAATGTGTTTTCTGGTTTCCTTAATTTCGCCAATTTCTTAAGAAATTGATGGATAATTTGAAGATTATATGATCAGACACATAAACATGGCATATACCACATAAGTTTCTCATATTTAGTTGTTTTTAGTTGCTGTTTTTTGTTGAACCATAATATTACGTACATGGATAACGTATTTTATTTACAAGTAGGCTGCATCTTGTATTAGACCAACATAGCATCAAGTTTCACTAGAGCTGCTAAGAACACTTCTTATCAGATGTGTTGACAGCTCTCCTGATAAAGAAAGTGACCGGAGATTTCTGGATTTGTTGAATTAAAAAAATTAAGCAATCAAATGACCAAATTGAAACAGTTTATGTAAAAATAGAAACATTTATATTTATCCTAACTTTTGTTTATTTCAGATAGTAATGTATAATGTGCAGCAAAGCTGCAAAAACTACAAAACAAACTAAAATATACAAAAGTTAGGATAAATATAAATGTTTCTATTTTTGAATAAACTGTTTCGATTTGGTCATTTGATTGCTTTCGAGGTACTCGAAAAAACATTTAAAATTTTACTGTAATACAATTAACGTGCCTCGTTCGCAATATCAATGTATTTGTCGTGGGGCCTTTTACCGTTTACGTTCCATCAACCGATAGGGAGAACACAACTAAATGCTATAACATGCCTGTTCCCATACAAACGATCTGTCTTCTAGAAAAACTAAGAGTTGTAGTAAATGTTTTGCTATCATGCCATCATAGCCCAGAATGTCATCCGTCAGTCTAAAAAGTTTGAATCAAAACTTCACATGAAAATCAAAAGATCTCACATGTTGAGTACGCCATCTATATATAAATCATGTCAAAAATTGACATTCCTTTTTGACGGATGGAGGCAAGTCAAAATATTACTTAATGTGTAGCCATCTATATATAAATCATGTCAAAAATTGACATTCCTTTTTGACGGATGGAGGCAAGTCAAAATATTAAGTGTGTTATTAATAGGGGTGGGACGATGACCCGATGAGTAGATTCCCCGCGGGTTGAGGCCTTCGGGTTTACCCGAATCGACTCCTCTAGTCTAAGATAACTTATTATACGAATGCATACACTGGGCGAAGTGACCAAATATAAACAATTTTAATCACAAATAATCAGTGAAAAATGATTATTATCTGGTTAAAACCTATTATCGAGACTATTATTGGTGGTTATCGCTGATTATCAAGACTTATTAATCAACAATAACCGGTGTTTTCACTGGTTATTACGATAATCAGTTCTTATTAATGTGTAGCCAATGGCAAAAATTCCAACTGATTATTATGTCAAGTGATTATTCACCCAACTGGTTATCGCTTTGTTTTCATTAGCAATTAAGAACCGTCTGCCATTTATGCATCTAGCGCTTTTAATTATTATCCGTTGAATAAACAAACTATAGCCTTTGTCTAGCTAAAGAATATGAATTTTTGCGGAATTGAATTTTTTATTCAAACATCATTTTTTTTAATTCATTATCAACCGAACAAAAAATAAAAGAAACACATTTTTAGAATTTCATTTAATGTTAGATTTTATTTAGCTGTCCAACTTCAATTACCAGGATTCGAGATTTTTCATTAGCAATTATCATGCAGCAGATTTCTGCAATTCAATCAATAGTTTATACTAATTAGTAGTAATTAAAGAATATCACCAAGAAAATATTTTATCATCGTGTAGAAAGTCCAATCTAAAATCTGGTAAATGTGTTGCGTTTATTGAAGCAATAACGTTGTGATACCACTGTAAAACTATAATTAAAATGTTTGATATGAAATCCGATTGTCAGGAATAAGAAATACACATCAATACTTTTACATAATATCCAGTGTATTGAAATAAGATGTTATAACAAAGGCAATTGAAAAACTTCAATCTCAGTGAAACTAGTAGTGAAACTCCCTGAATCTGTTAAAGGGAAGCTTTCATTCAAGCACTGAAATCTAAGTTTAAGAGGAAGAATTCAGTATCCCGTGTGTTCACTACCCCCTCCCATCCCCAATTATTTAACTATGCTCCAATGTGTTTCATTTCTGAGTTTAATAAATGCAATCAATATGATAGTTCTATATAACTCATTATTACCGTAGAGCAAATGTGCGCAAGGTTAAATTTTAATCTTTTTGAAAAATGTTAATTAGTTGCTTGGATGGTAGATTGTTTGTTTGATTGTTTATTAGCACGATTGATTGCTTGATTGGCCGTTTACTTGCAAACATTCTTTCTTTGTTGCTTTGCTGCTTCCTTGGTTTCTTGCATTAGAGTTTAATTAGCTACTTGCTTGGTTGGTTTGTCGGCTGTTTGCTTGCTTTATTTGTAAGTTGCATGGTTTGCTTTTTTACTTGGTTAGTTTCC